AATCCCTAGGAACCCAAACACCTGCCAGTTCTGTGAGCCCAAGGAAAAGAGAAGACGCGGGCATGGCTGAGGTGGCAATTTGTGCTGTTTTGTCATGTGAGAATGTTTTGGCATAATCGTGTGCGGGGAGCGGTGTCTTAGTTACTCTTCTATTACTGTGACAAAACGCCGTGACCAAGGCAACTTATATAAGAAGGCATTTAATTAGGGAGGGGGACTCATGGTTCCAGAGGGTTAGAGTCCATGACCATCATGGCAGAAAACACGGGCCAAAGGCAGGCAGGGTGCTGGAGCAGTAGCTGCAAACTTACCCATGATTTACAAGCAGGAGGCAGAGCCAACTGGGAATGAGATGGGCTTTAGAAACCTCCAAGCCTATCCCCAGTGACACACCACCTCTAGTGAGACCACACCTCCTAACCCTTCGCAGACAAGCATTCAAATATGAGCTTTTTGGGGGGCTGGGGGGCATTCTCATTTAAGCCACCGCTGGTGGGATTGAGACACGGTATTACTATGTAGCTCTGGCTAGCCTGGCGATCACAACACAGACCAGGCTGGCTTCAAACTTAAAGCTGTGATTCTGTGTGGCAAGCTTTCTTGTCGGACTATCTTTAGACCTCCATCTCCCAAATAACGACATGGAAACTTCTTGTTAGTTATGTAAGTTTGGCTTTTAGCTTAGACTTGTCTCCAAATTGCTCTTTTTTTTTTTTTTTTTTTTTTTTTTTTTGGTTTTTACGAGACAGGGTTTCTCTGTATCGTTTTGGAGGCTGTCAATCCAGCCCGGCCTCAAACTCACAGAGATCCGCCTGCCTCTGCCTCCCGAGTGCTGGATTAAAAGACATGCACCACCACCGCCCGGCTTCCAAATAGCTCTTATAACTGAAATTAACATGCTTCCGTTAATCTACTCTCTGCCGTGTGGCTTTTACCTTTCCTCAGTACGGCATGTCTGATTCACCCCAAGTCTGCTGGCAAAAGCCCTGCACCTAGATTCCATCTCCTCTCCCTGACTCCTCCTGGAAACCCTGCCTAGTCCCTCCTGACTAGCTATTGGCCATTCAGCTTTTTGTTAAACCAATAACAATGACACATCTTCACAGTGTACAAAAAGATTATTCCACAACAGCTCTGTCTCCCTAGAGCTGGAATTATAGGCGGGAACCACCACACTGTGGTCCACTGGGTTTTTAAGTCTGTATCTGTCTGTGTGGGCATTGAAGGGACACTAGGTCACTTAAGCATGTGGCTCTGGCAGTCCTTGCCCTTCTCCCCCATTCCCTCTGCCTTGCTAAAAAAAAAAAAACCAACTGTTAGATTACATTCCAGCTGAGCATTGGTGGCCCACGCCTTTAATCCCAGCCCTCGGGAGGCAGAGGCAGGCCGATTTCTGTGTGAGTTTCAAGACCAGCTTGGTCTACAAGAGCAAGTTCCAGGGCAACCTCCCAAAGCAATACCTGTGGGGCTGGAGAGGTGGCTCAGAGGTGAAGAGCACTGACTGCTCTTCCAGGGGCCCTGAGTTCAATTCCCAGCAACCACATGGTGGCTCACAGCTATCTGTAGGGAGATCTGGTGCCCTCTTCTGGTCTGCAGGCAAACATGCTGGCAGAACGCGGTGTACATAATAATTTTTTTTAAAAAAAATGACACCTGTGACCAGATGGGGATGACACAGGCCTTTAATCTCAGCACTCAGGACAAAAAGAAAAAGAAAAAAAAAGACACCTGTAAGGTCATTTACTACTGCTTCCTGCCTGAGTCAGAAAGCAGCCACTTTAATTATTTTTCCCTCTAAATAAAGGATATCTCTGTGAGAGCAGGTGTTTGGTTGTGGTTTGTGCCTAATCCAACAGAGGTCCCATTGTTGGTGGTGGTGGGGCATTTCTTCAGGTGTGAGAGTATTTGCCAGAGGTTGTCTTTCTGAGACAGTTTTCCCTTATCTCCTCCCAAAGGCTTTTCCTCCTGTTGTTGGAAAAGATTTTTCCTGGGGAGACACAACACACAGATCCACTCGCTCCCGACAGGAAGTCCCGACAGGAAGAACAGTGTATAAGCTGGGCGGTGGTGGCACATTCCTTTAATCCCAGCACTTGGGAGGCAGAGGCAGGCGGATCTCTGTGAGTTCTAAGCCAGGCTGGACCGAAAGCCTCCAAAACAATACAGACAAACCCTGTCTTGTAAAAACAAACAAACAAACAACAACAACAAAAAACAGTGTACAGACACCAGCAAAGCTCAATTCAGTGAGCCCTGAGTTTTATTGGTGTTCCTTACAGGAAAATGGTTGAGGGGTTACTTACAGGAGCAGCAGTGACTCAAAGACCAAAGCCTGTTCACCCAGATCAGCTCTGCTAACAGCTCACAAAAGCTGGGAACCTGGAGCACCCTGCACAGCCTGTGGGCAGCTCAACACGTTGCAGGGTGTCCTCTCTCAGTGATTCAGTTGCTTATTACCTCTTCTAGGCAGCTCAGCTGATTTTTGCTTCTTCCGGACAGCTGGTCTGGCTTCAGAGCCTTCTCTGCTGCTGGGTTTGCCTGAGAGTGACACTCACCATTTTTTTTCTTTTTGGTTACTCTGGCAGGGGGGGGGCACGCTAGTGAAACTGGTTGGCTTGAGGGACTTTCTGAAGCTGTTTTTAGGACAACAGATGTATTGACAAATATGCACACACACACACACACATACTAACAAAAACAGGTTTATTAAATACAGTAAAGGGGCAGTAGGTTGTACAATAACATCTTCCAATTTGTCCCTTGATACTCATGTACCAAGCTAGTCAGATACAGGGAGGGTGGATGGGTCTCTTACTCACCCAGTATTATGTAGGAGAAGTTTTCCTGTTCCTACCACTGGTTCCCAAATACCTGGTAGCCAAATAATTGACCCAGAGGCTTAATATAAATATTAAATGCTTGGCCAATAGGTCAGGCTTGTTAATAGCTAGTTTGTTTTTCCTTTTTTATTAATTTGTTTATTTAAATTAAAAATAATTTTAGTTTACAAACCAATCACGGGTCACTCTCCCTCCTGTCCTCCCGATCCTCCCATCATCTCCCCATCCCACACCCCATCCAGTCCTCAGAGACGGTGACATCTCCTATGGAGCATCATTTGGAGCAGGACCGAAGCCCTCCCCCACTGTATCTAGGCTGAGAGAGTATCCCTCCATAGGGAATGGTCTCCAAAGAGTTAGTTTATCCTCTAGGGATAAATACTGGTTCTACTGCCACAGGGCCCATAGACTGCCCAAGGCCCCCCAACTGACACCCATGTTCAGGGGGCCTAGTTCAGTCTTATGCAGGTTCCCTTTCTGTCAGTATTCCATCCTAAAGAGGTAACCCAGACACAGAAAGACAAACATGGTTTGTATTCACTCTTAAGTGGATATTAGACACAGAGCAAAGGATAACCAGCCTACCATCCACAACCCCATAAAAGCTAGGAAACAAGGAGGAACCTAAGGGAGACAGACATGGACCTCCCCCAAGAAGAGGAAGGGGACAAAGACCACCTGAGATAATTGGGAGCATGGGAGGGAGAGGGGAAGGAGGTAGGCAAAAGAGAAGGGGAGAAGGGGGAGGGGAGAGAGAGAACATGAGGGATCAGAAAGGCAGAGTTGGGGGGAAGAACAGAGATGTAGAGCAAGAAAAGAGATACCTTAAAAGATGGAGCTGTTATGGGCTGAACGAGAAACCTGGAACTAGGAAAATTCACAGGAATCCACAAGGATGACCCCAACTAAGAATCTAAGCAATAATGGACAGGCTACCTTAAATGTCCTTCCCCTATAAGGAGATTGATGATTTCCATAAATGCCATCATAGAAGCCAGGGCATTGGTGGTACACGTCTTTAATCCCAGCACTTGAGAGGCAGAGGCAGGCGGATCTCTGTGAGTTCCAGACCAGCCTGGTCTACAGAGTGAGTTCCAGGACAGCCTCCAAAACAATAGAGAAACCCTGTCTCAAAAAGAATGCCATCCTAGAGCCTTCATCCAGTAGCTGATGGAATAGAAGCAGAGATTCACAGCTGAGCACTGAGCCAAACTCCTAGAAGCCGATTGTAGAGAGGGAGGGGGTGAAATAAACCCTTTCCTCCACAAGTTGCTTTGGTTAGGGTGTTTCTTTACTTTTCTTTTGTTGTGTGTTTGTTTCAAGACAAGGTTTCTCTGTGCTGCCCTGGCTGTCCTGGAATTTGCTCTTTAGACCACGCTGGCCTCAATTTCAGAAATCCACCTGAGTGGTAGGATTAAACGCCCAGGGCCCAGCTTCAGTTTGCTTTTTTTTTTTTTTTCTTCTTTTTGGTTTTTCGAGACAGGGTTTCTCTGTGGCTTTGCAGGCTGTCCCAGAACTAGCTCTTGTAGACCAGGCTGGCCTCGAAGTCACAGAGATCCGCCTGCCTCTGCCTCCCAAGTGCTGGGATTAAAGGCGTGCACCACCAACACCCGGCTTTCTTATACAATACAGGAACACCAGCCCAGGGATGGCACCACTCGAAATGGGTTGCCCCTTCCCGTATGGATCACTAATTTAGAAAATGCCCTACAGCTACTTCTTAGGGACGCATTAACTCAGTTGAGGCTCCTTCCCCTCTAAGGACTCTAACTCGCATTACAAGGGTTAAATAGGCAGATTCTACTCTTGGTATCCAGTGCACTGTGAGAAAGTGCACCCATGTGCTAAACTGCTGCTTCTGTCACACCCTCTTCCACCCAGCCAGTAACCCTGGCAGAAGGAGCTCTTGTTTGACTATACCCTCCCTTTAAAAAAATAAATAAAAGGCCAACTGTCCTTGATCCCAATCCCAGATCAGGCAGGGACACCACAGACAGACCTGGGGCTTCCAGCCCACAGGGCATTGGTCACTGGGACAGGCATAGGTAAGGGGCAGACAAGGGACAGCAGCAGACTCTATCGGGATATCAGGGCGTCCTGCAGACGACAGTGCGGTGTGATAATCCACACACGGCCTTGTAAAATGGCACCAGCTGTGACTTTTCGTGGTTTGGGATACTTATTTAATCAAATTATCTCAGCATAGCTGGTATGGAATGGCGGGATCCCGGAGTCTAAAGTTGGGGATGGATGTGTGTGGGGTGGGGCTCTACAGGATTCGAACAAAATTATTGGGTTGGGTTGAAGGCGGGGTCTTGATGTAAGGGTGAGGCCAGGGAAGTCTCCAGGAGTCCCCTGCACCTGGGCCGTCTAGGAGGCCAGGTAACCAGCGTCCACCAGGATGCCAGAGCCGCTGGTAGAGGCGCTGCTGTCGCTGAGCAGGAAGAGGATGCTGTTGACCACGTCCTCCACCTCTGCAGGAGGACAGAGCAGTCAGGGCTTCTGCCTCCCGCCCGGCTGCTGCTGCTGCCCCTCGCCGATTCCCCCACCCACATCCCCAGCTGACCTGCGAACTTCCTCAGTGGGTGGCGCTCCTTGAGCTTCTTGGCAAATTCCGGGTCTGCAGAGACTTTCTTGCCCATGTCAGTCAGCACCACGGTAGGGTTTACAGAGTTCACCCGGATCTGCCCCGCCCCCCAGAAGCCACAGCAGGTGGGCGGCACAGCCAATAAACTCGCCCCGCACACACAGCTCAGGACTGGCCACAGGACAAGCTCAGAGCACGCCCAAAGCCTCACCCCATCCTCACCCTCAACCTCCAGCCCTGCCCCAGGTGCCCCAGGTCATCTGTCCCTCAGGTGTGGGCCCAGGCCCCTATGCCTACCTTGTATGGTCCCAGCTCCATGGCCATGGCTTTGGTCAGCATGGTTATAGCACCCTTGGTGGAGCCTGTGGGAGGTGGGGAGTGCTGAGGACCCCCTAATTATTCAGTCCTCCTTCTGGGAGTCCCACCCAGAACCTCCTCCTCCTCCTCCTCCTGCTCCTGCTCCCACAATGAAAGGGTGCACTCACTGTACGTGGCCAGACCAGGGAAGGTGACATAGGCCACCATGCTGGAGATGTTGACAATGGATCCTGCCACTCCACGGTTAATCATGCCCTTGGCTACCATCTGGAAGCCCAGAGTTAGGGGTATAGCTCACTGTGCCCTGTGCCATCCCATCCTGCCCAGGTGTTCCTCCTGCCCGGGCACAGAGCTCCTAAGCGCCTCACCTGGGACACTTGCAGCACAGAGCGCACATTCACATTGAAGGACCTGGCAGGAGAGGAACAATGGCTCCCTGCACCACCGGTCTTCAGCAACCCTCCCCAGCCTGCCCCCACTCCCCCCAGGTGCCCACCTGTCAAAGACCTCCTTGGTAGACTGTATGAAAGGCTGCACTAGCGCCACCGCCGCATTGTTCACCAGCAGGTCCACGGGGCCAATACGGCCCAGTGCCTTCTCTGTGGCCTCCCAGTCACCCAGGTCCACACACACAGGCTCTATGCCCGGACACTGTGAGAGACATTGTTTGGTGTCCTGAGTGAGGCATTGTCTCAGCCAGCTTCTGATGCACCCCTGCGGGTGGGGAGCAATCCCAGGCCAGGGCAGGGCTGCTGGGCCTCACCTCTTTGGCCAGGCTGACCAGGTCTTCGTTGATGAGTGACACGGCCACCACTTTGGCTCCTGAGGCATGCAGGGCTTTCGCAGTGCCTCGCCCAATCCCTATAAAGAGGGAATGTGGTGAGGTAAGGGCCCTGTAGGCCTGGCCACAGCTGGGGTCTAGGTCCCAGGAGGGAATCAAGGCTGTTACCCCCATGTCTCTGCAGCCAGCAGTGAGAGGGTTCTGGACTGAAGGTAATGAGCCAGGCTTAGATGGGACTATCCCTGGGCAGAAAGAAGTCAGACTCACTCCAATCAGGCCAAAGGAGGCACCAGAGGGCAGCACCCTCCTGATGAGGTCCCAGAGAAAGGGACCGACTGGTACCCATCTGCCCTGCATGGATCTAGGGGCTGTCTTGGAGCCAAGATAAACTTGTCCTTTTCCACTGTGGTGGCTGAGGAGAGACTGGCATTCTGTCCTAGTGGGCAGTGGGGCTCCAGCTGGGTGACAGAAGCAGTTGAGTCCTGGGTGAAGTGGGAGTCAGGGTCTGTAGGGCTGAGCTGTGCCAAGGTCACCTTGGGTCCCTGTTAAGACTGTCCCCCTTCCTCTCCTACTCATACTCACCTCTCCCTGCCCCGGTCACCAGAGCCCTGAGACCAGTGAAATTCAGCTTCATGCTGCTGACACCAGTGTCCTCCTGTGGCGAGGGGAGGGGCTGAGGTTAAGGTTGATCTGAAAGGTAGGACAGGGTTGGGGTTGGGGCGGGTGACCTGCTCCCTGTGGGACTTGAAGAAACAGTGATAAGGAATGTGTGCACATGTGTATAAGACCTGACAGCAGTGGCAAAGAGTAGGTACACACACACACACACACACGCACACGCACACGCACATATACCACAGGCACATACGCATGCATACACTCATGCACAGGGGCGTGCGCACACACAGACACATACACACAATGCACAGTCACAGGCCACATACAACACACAGGCACACATACCACTCACACACACAAAGGCACACACACGTGCGTGCACACAGGCACACACAAGTGTGCACACACACATCACACACAACCCACATGCACACACACATATCACAGGCACACACGCATGCATACACTCACACACAGGCACGCACACACACACACAATGGACAGGCACATGCACACATACCACTCACACACACATACACATACCACACACACACACTTGCTTGCACACGTACCACACATGCACACATACGCACACATAAGACACGTACACACACATACTTGTAGGAACACATTCCACATGCACACACGCTCACACGCAATGCACACAGGCATGCACACACTCACACATACCACACGCACACACACTCACACATACCACACGTGTGCAAACACACTACTTGCACACACATGCACACACACCCCCATACCAGACTCTCACACAGAAGCACACACACACCTCACGCACACACGCACACACATGCATACAAACGTACACATACATGCACACACACACTTACACACACACACACACTCACTCGCACCCGTGCCTGTGAGAGCATCTGACACAGCAGTGTTGTGGGAGAGAAGGTGGCAGCCTGGGAACAGCATTTGCATTTTCAGCCTCGCAGGACTGAGTCTTGAACCCAGGGCCTCAGAACGTGCTAGGCCAATGATGCACCACTGAGCCACACCCTTAGCCTGGGGAAGTGAAAATTCCGCATTTGGGATTTCCTTGTCTGGACAGAAGCGCATGTCATAACTTTTTTATTTTATTGTTATTAATGAGGGTATCAACCTGATCTCAGTGGGGCAAGTGACCTAGATGACTGCTTGGAGCAAGACCCTGGGTAGGGAACCCAAGTGCCCAGAGACTCAAGGACCTCACTGTGCCTGCAGTCTGTCCAGGGAGAATGATGCTGTCCTCCTTACCTGTCCCTCCTAGGTGCCCCTCACCTGCTGCCCCTGCCAGCCTGGGACTCTGCCCTAGGTGACTGCCGAGGCACCTTCTGGCCTCTGAGGCAGCTCTCTGGTAAACATAAACATGGATTCTGGGGTTTCCTGTCTCAGTGGTGACCCCTGAGTTCCTCTGGTGTCTCTGCTTCTCAGAGCAGACAGGTGTTTCTTCGGGGGCACTTGGCAGAATCCGAGGATTTACTATTCATCCCAGTGCCGGCTCTGGCAATTTGTCTACGTGTGTGCTGAGGTTCTCCTCTCTTGTCTGCCAGGGTTCATCGAACGAAAGCCCAGAGAGTCATGGCAGGTCACATGGCATCGACACCAGGCAGGAGACTCGGGTGCACAGACCGCCCCAGCAGCAGACTCGGGGTCCAGGGGTGCTCAGACTCCTGCCTGTTGCCTTCCCTTCCTCCACTAGGCTGGGCACCGAGACTGTGTGACTCTCTGAGAGACAGAGCTGTATTTCAGGTGCCCTACATGCCCTGAGACGTGGGAGGACCCTGGCATTATTTGTGCCTGACCCCCTCAGAGAAGAATGTTCAGGAAGCCTCACTAGTGTGGGGACAGCATTAATACTCTTTGACCAAGTATTCTTCCACACTGGTCACTAGTGTGGGGACAGCATTAATACTCTTTGACCAAGTATTCTTCCACACTGGTCAGCAAGGTGTTCTGTGATTGTCCTGGATCTCGGTGGGGGGGGGACAACAGGCACAGCGGGAGACTGGGGACCCAGCCCCATACTTATGGCACACATGGGTTGACACCTAATGATTTGCTGCTGCTTGGTAGAGTTTCCTCACTCAGGGACAGATCATACCTGCTCACTGTGTCCTTGATCCCAGCCTGAGCAAGCCACCTGAATCCTACAGCCAACCTCCAGGGGACACTGAATGCCGAGTTCTGACCTGATCTACCCAGTAAGATCCAAGCCCCACCCTTTCTATGATGCAAGCAGTTGATTGTGACCAATCTTCCAACTGGTAGCTACTGGACACCCTGGGGAAATGGCCTTTCAGGGATCTGTTATTCCTTACCAGAGTTTCTTTTCCCATTGCCCCAAATAAACACACAGATGCTATATTAATTATAAAACTGTTGGTGGATGGCTAGGGCTTTTCATTGGCTAGCTCTGTCTTAATTTTTAACCCTTTTCTGTTAATCTACGTGCCACGAGGCTGTAGCTTACCCGTAATCCAGCATGGTACTCCTTCAGCAGCATGGAGTCTCTTGCCATCTCCCCCTCTGCCTACCTCTCCCAGAATCCTCCTCGTCTCCCAGGCCCAGTCCTGCCTATCTTCCTGGTAAAGTGGTTTACTTTACCAAGTAGGACACTGTTAAGTTTGAGCCCATGCCTCTGAGCCTATCTCTGCAGCCATTGCCGTGAGCCGTGAACAATGGCTGATGCTCACAGGAAGGCACCATCAGCTCCTGGGTTTTGTGGCTGCACCCCTCGGCTAGCCTCGCTCTCTGGGGAGCATTTCTCCAGGGCGAAGACATCTTTACCCTCCACAGCTCTGGCCTCCCTTCATGTCACCTGCATGGTCTGAAGATTTCTCAACCCAGAGACACATGCTGAGCCCTAATCTCCCCTTACTTCCCCCCATCATCGATTATGTGAGAAAGTGTTCTAAAACAGTTTCCTAAAACATTCCACCCTTCAGGGAAGCTCCTTGAAGAGAAAAGGTAAACAGCTCAAAACAGCTTCAGGAAGTCCCTGAAGCCAACCAGTTTCACTAGCCCCCGGCCCCCCCCCCCGCTAAATTATTTTTAATTTAAATAAACAAATTAATAAAAAAGGAAAATCAATCTAGCTAGTAACAAGACTGAGCTATTGGCCAAGTATTTATAATTTATATTAAGCCTCTGGGTCAATTATTTGGGAAGTGGCTACCAGGTATTTGGGAACCAGTGGTAGGGACAGGAAAACTCCTCCTACATAATACTGGGTGAGTAAGAGACCCATCCACCCTCCCTGTAGCTTGGTACATGAGTATCAAGGGACCAATAGGAAGATGTTATTGGTTATTGTACAACCTACTGCCCCTGTAGTGTGCTTAATCAACCTGTTTTTGTTAGTATGGGTGTGTGTGTGTGTGTGTGTGTGCATATTTGTCAATACATCTGTTGTCCTAAAAACAAAGATTGTGGTAGGACATGACAGATGGTAAACTCTCAACTGTCTCTGGGTTTCAGTTCAGCAGGGACCACTGCTTGTTGTGGTCTATTCAAATTACTGTCTGTCAGTCTGGACCCAGTCCTATGTCTTGCCTCTGTGGTCTTCAAGCTGAAGTCTTAGATATCTTTAAAAAAACAATATGTAAGGGCCAGGCCTTGTGTGATGGTACACCTTACTCCAAGCACCTAGGAGGCAGAGGCAATCAGATCTCTGTGAGTTCAAGGCCAGTCGGGTCTACATAATGAAATCCATAATAGCCAGGGCTACATAGAGAGATCTTGTCTCAAAAAATAAAAATAAAAAAGTCTCCTTTTGAAAATATTTATTTTGCTGGAGTTGGTGGTACATGCCTTTATCCCAGCACCCAGGAGGCAGAGGTAAGAGGATTTCTGTGGGTTTGAGGCCAGTGTGGTTTACATACAGAGTTCCAGGACAGCCAGTCTGTTACACAGAGAAACCCTGTTTTGAAAACAAAAACAAAGATAAAAAAACCAAATATTTCATATGTATGGGTGGTTTGTTTGTACATATATTTATTGGATCGCTTGCATCAGAAGTCACATGATGGCATCAGATCCTCTGGAACTGAAGTGTTGAGTGGTTGTGAGACACACGTGGGATCTAGGAACTGAATCTGGGTCCTCTGGAAGTGCAGCCAGTTTCCTTAACATTGGGTCATCTCTCCTGCGGGATCTGTTGATTCCAATGTAACCACACGCAGAGACTCTGTATCTGTATCTTCTGCCTCCAGTAAAGACTTTTGAACTCTGCAGCTTCTTTAAATATTTTGTGGCCATTTGGTCACTTACATATCTGAGTGCAATGAACACACACACACACACACACACACACACACACAAAGTGACATGTAAACTGAAACTCCAAATTATTACCTAAGACTAAAGTAAGAAGATAAACCTTGCTTGCCAATAGCCAGGCCATCAAAGGAAAATCAAATTACTTGTACATTGTAGCAAACCAACCTAACTTGTGAATTTACTGTTATGTGATACATTCTGACACTGTGGAAAGACACAAATGTGTGTTATGTTTCTGACACTCTGTATTCACAACACCTGCCCAGAGTAGAGTAGATCAAAAGCAGCCTGGGAGATACCAAACATCTCCTGGGTCAACTAGACATGCCCAAACTCTGTCCCCTGGGCCAACCAAACATGCCAATCACTGTCCCCTAAGTCAACTAAACATGCTCAAACACTATCCCTGGGCCAATAAAAAATGCCAAACACTATTCCCTAGGTCAACTAAGCACATTCACACACTACACCTTCTAGACAAGTTGCTGGAGTTGCAGCCAAGCCAGAAACAGGTGTAGTTTTCTTATGTGGCTCTTACAAGATTACTGCTTGTCATGAGGCCCCTGGACCCCTAATGCTTCCTCTAATTCCCTAATCACTTAGAGTCACCCAGAGTGGGTTGGAAGAGCAACTGTTTCTTCTTTTCAGGGTCCAGGACATCCTCATGTAGCTAAATCTCTAAGGAGACAACTGCCAGCAGCTTCCATCAAGCCCACCTTTATAGACTGACAGATAAATATGCACACGATACAGGGAAATAACACCAATTCGGAGTACATGCTTAGATAAACCATTGTTTTTGTTTATTGCTAAGTCCTTCCAAGGCTTAGATCCTGGAATCCTGACTAGGGGCAGTGAGGAAGAAATGACAAATACAAGGACACACAGAAAAGCCGGGCCCAGGCTGTCTTTACTCTGTAATAGAAAAGCCACAGCCCCGCAGAATCTCAGTGTGATTATGGCATATAGTTGAACCAGGGAGGTGGGGTTAGTGTATACAGCAGAACCAGGAGGCAGACTTAGCTAATCTCTATAGGAGAACAGTCTTAAGGTGGTAACAGGGTGTGGGTGCAGAAAGCTACAGTGAACATTTTCTGCAAACACTGTCAACATTCCAATCAGACCAGAGGTGAAGGCTTTGCCATTCCCACAGGGCTGAGACATTGGGGGGGGTCCACATTCACTAAAGGCTTCACCATGCACTCCCTGCGGTTCACAGGGTTCATAATAGGACGAAGCAGGTGCCGTTCTCTCTTGGGGGCACCATGATAGCACATTCAGAATTTCCCATGGCTCTTAGATTAATACAGAGATCTAAGAACACCCAGTCCCTTAAGGGAGCTCGAGCCTGCTTTCTTTTTGGATTTCAAATTTCCTGTCTAAAAACAAATGACCTAAGCCCAAAATAGTGTGAAAAGCCCATACAGAGAAGCAAAGAAACAAACAAGCATGGTCCCTACAAAATTTCAAGTTTCCCAGCACCCAGAGTGGTTCACAACTCCAATGCCAGGGGATCTGGTGCCCACTTCTGTCCACTGTTGGCACTGCAGGAATGTGATGCACAGAGCAAACATAAAAATACACAAGAAATAAAAATAAATCTCGCTTACCTGCAAAAACCAATTGATCTAATCTTAGAATATCCCAGAAGAACTCAAAGAAACAATAAAAGCAAGGCTCACCATACTCTGTTGGGAAAGGGCTGGCGGGGATCTTTCTCTAAGGCCTTGGAATGCAGGCACTGGTCTCTGCCTGGAGATTTAGCTGGGGTCTGCTCACCTGTCCAGTGTCTATGTTCAAATTACCTAACAAGAGCTGTCCAATCTGTTCATTGCTTTTCAAGTATGAGTTCTGAAGTTTGATTCCCAGAATCTGTGTTTAAAAAAATCAGGAGTGTTAACCAGGTGGTGGCACATGCCTTTAATCCCAGCTCTGGGTAGGCAGAGACAGAAGGATCCCTTGGGCTTAAGCCATAGATTACAGAAAAAAAAAACACTCTGTTTCAAGAGAACAAACGCTAACAGTTCCTGAAGAAAGCACACAAAGCTGACCTCTGGACATGTGTCCCCACACACAAGCACACACACACATACACCAATCTCTTGAAAAATAGAAGAGCAATATCCACTTTCCATTTCATCACTTAAATTTTTTTTAAGCCGGGAGGTGTTGTGCACACCTTTATTCCCAGTACTTGGGAGGCAAAGGCAGGCAGATCTCTGTGAGTCCGAGGCCAGGCTGGACTGAAAGTCTCCAAAACAACACAGAGAAACCCGGTCTGGTTAAAAAAAAAAAAACAGTGTACAGACACCACCAAAGCCCAATTCAGTGAGCCCTGAGTTTTACTGGTGTTCCTTACAGGAAAATGGTTGAGGGGTTACTTACAGGAGCAGCGGTGACTCGAAGACCAAAGCCTTTTCACCCAGATCAGCTCTGCTAACGCTCACAAAAGCTGGGAACCTGGAGCACCCTGCACAGCCTGTGGGCAGCTCAACACGTTGCAGGGTGTCCTCTCTCAGCGATTCAGTTGCTTATTAGCTCTTTTAGGCAGCTCAGCTGATTTTTGCTTCCTCCTGGACAGCTGGTCTGGCTTCAGAGCCTTCTCTGCTGCTGGGTTTGCCTGAGAGTGACTCTTGGCATATTTTTTTTTTTGGTTACTCTGGCAGGGAGGGGCCTAGAGAAACTGGTTGGCTTCAGGGACTTCCTGAAGCTGTTTTGAGCTGTTTACCTTTTCTCTTCAAGGAGCTTCCCTGAAGGGTGGAATGTTTTAGGAAACTGTTTTAGAACACTTTCTCACATAATGGATGATGGAGGGGAGTAGGGGGAAATTAGGGCTCAGCATGTGTCTCTGGGTTGAGAAATCTTCAGACCATGCAGGTGACATGAAGGGAGGCCAGAGCTGTGGAGGGTAAAGATGTCTTCG